ATATGTATTCACTCATTTTTTTTAAAACCAACTCAGTAAAATATTTTTTGGACTTTATCTCAATGACAGAGACTTTTAAAAATATCTTTTAAAATTTAGCATTTCGAAACAAAACCAAGAAGGACCATTCTTTCTGGGGAAGGCAGGGTATGTAGGTGGCCTAACTAACTGAAAGGAAGTTGGTTCAGTTGACATTTGTGGTCTTGGACACCTGGATCCCCAGATTGCCTCACATTTTAGCTCCCAAGGACCATCACTAATTCCTGGGTTAAGTAAAAGAAAGTCTCGCAGCATCTTGGCCCTGCAAGGGGGAAAAATAATCTCTGTATGGGAGTAATAATGTCAGTAATGGGATATGTTTTATTGCTATGATTCTTTTCCTTAGCTTAAATCTTAAAAAAATTATTCTTACTGAATCAAACCAAATAATCCTGCATTGCCTCTTCTGTACTGAGATAGTATCATAACACACACACACACATACACACACACACACACACACTCCCAGAGCATAGGATGAAAGAGATCAACCTGTGTGTCATTGGGTAACAGTGTGGGCCCTGTCTGGGGAACAACTTCTGGGAGTCCTGCTGCCTCTCAGGCCTATGGGAGAGTCTCCAGGAGACAGTGCTTGCTGTCTCCTGCCACATGTTGCTGGCATCAGTTGGCTGGTGAGCCTGTTCAGCAGGGAAGGCTGGCAGCCCAGGAGCAAAGCCACAGGGGTTTGGAGAGAAACCTCTAATAGTGTCAGGCTGTCTTTTACTTTTAGCTGCAAAAGTAGACCCAGTAATCCCCCATCTTAAAACTTCCTAGGAATCATGGACAAAATACTCCAAACTCCTAGAGCTTACACAAACCTTATTTCAGCCAAAATGATCCAAAAGATGGAGATCTCAAATTCTACAATGATGTGGTTAGTGTGCTGCTCCACTTCAAAACAAAGAGAGCTTTTGTTTATGTGTATTAGGCTGACACTTGAAACTTTTCAATTAGATTACACTAATATCTTATTAGTTTTTTTAAGATTTCATTTATCATTATCAACAAACATTCATTCATTCCTCTAGCTAAAGCCAGCAAAGTTTTTGGTCCCTGTGAAAATTCAGAAAGGCCCAGAGGTAACTCAGTAATAACCAGTTACAATTGGCTTCTCATGTCCCTGAGACTGTTCAGTTACCTATACTCTTAACCAGAGATCACAGGGAGGCAGGGAAGAAAGAAAAGGGTAGTCCTTGGAGAAAGGAGCTTGGTGGTGGGTATCAATGCAGAAAGAGGTAAAATTAAAACACTGACAACCTGCTTTAGCTTTCTCACATTGAAACTAATCCCTGCAGCCTAGTCAGGCTCTGCCCAGGATCTGGGAGGAGCTCCTCAGGACAAGTGAGTTCATGCCAGCAGCTTATCCAGACTGGGCCTGAATCCCCAGTGATATGGAAGAACACTATTCACATCTATAGCTCCTATCCCCATCTGGAAGAGGTCCTTATCCCCATCTGTAGCTCCATGCCATGAGGCTCCTATTCTACTGAAGGGACTGTACCGCCCACCTGAGATATGATCCTACCAGCCTCTGTACAAAGGACTTTGATTTGGTGTGGAGCTGATTAAACGATTGTAGATGTCCTTGGAAGCACTATGTGGAAGAATTTTAAACAGCTTCTCCTTTTTAATATGCACTTCCTCTTCGGTTTTAATTATTTTGTTCCTACATTTTCCCTTTCAATTTACTAAAATCTAGAAATGTAATTAGAGCAGAGGCCGGGCTCAGAGAAAGCTGCCAGGATTTCTACAGCATGATTAAATATACCAGGCATCCCTTTAGTGTGGGCTGAAAAAATAGGATTCTCATTATTATCTTTTCCTTATCCAGGAAAGAATCGGCACCACGTACAGATACGGATTTATTGAAAATGCAGCACTAATTAAAAACTCACCCAGTCTCTTGAGGAGGGTAAAAAAAAAGTGCAGTTATTTAATTATTTCCTCAATTTAATGTTTTGTTGTTGTAACCACAATAAGCAAGAAGCCCTCCTTGCTCCTCTTTCCTCAAAATAAAATTCTTTTCTCCTCTTGAGGGACTTAATGAGGTTTTTATCTATGCAACAACAATCAAGCTTACAATGGCACCAATTCAATTCGTTGCTTCTTGTGATGGTAGGAAACATGTAGAACTCATTTTCTTAATCCAAAACACAAACAACGAAGTGTTCATTGGCCTGTCGTGAGCCAGGTCTGGGCAAGGGATCTGTCCCCAAAGACCCTGAAATGTCTGGTATTTATTCTGCCAACAAGGATCTTTTGCTCCATTTTACAGTCTAGTAAGTTAAGGCATGGTTCTTCTGGGAGCTATAGGGGAGGAAGAGGCAAACAGAATGGCACAGAAGATAAGTACAAACTCCGATTTTGGTTGTAAGCTCTTTAGGAAGATAAGTCTTTCTGTCTGTACTGTTCTTCCTTGACCAGTCAAGGGCCAACTTTCAATTGGTGCCTGCTCCAGTGACTGCTATGGTAGACTTTGGAGTTGGATATACAGGAAGGAAGACCTCAGTAGGGATATAGTCCAGACACCGGGCCTAAAGGAAAAAAGTCAAATGACACACCCAGGGACAGATATAAGACCACACAAAAAGAAAGAACAAGAATACACCGATGAAGCTGTGTGAGGGCCACAGTGAGGTTAATAGAAAATTGGCAGTGGATAAGTTCTTATTGATTGATTAAATTTCATAGTGGAGCTGTGGATTAATTAATGAACAGTTTTCTTCTCTGGAGAGTCAAGTTCATCCCAGCACTACCACTGTAATGTAAACTTGGACAAACTTCTTCGGGACTTAGTTTTTCCACTGAAACAATGGAAACAATTCCCACCTTATCACCTTGGCGTGAGGATGAACTAAAATAATATTTGAAAACAGCATGGTCCCTGGCATAGAGGAGACCCACTTATTTATGGATGTGTCATTGTATGTGGATTTTAGGGGTAAATGTTCATAAACTTACTGGTATTCAATTCCTACTGTATACCATGCTAATTCCTTGTCTCTGTGCTATTTTTTAAGAATTTTTTTCACAATACCTTTTTTCTTTTTTCTATTTATTTATTTATTTATTTTTATATGGTGGTAAGGATCCAACCCAGGGCCTTGCACGTGCTACTGCTGAGCTGCAGCCCCAGCCCTCTCTGTGCTTTCTTTAGAATTCTCCAGGGAAGCTGGAGTCAAAGAAAACAGAAGATTTCTCAGTCAGAATACTTTCTCTTGCTATGATTCCTGAATGAGCAAGCTCTTCAACCTTGGAGCCAATTTCCTCATGCATCAGTCAGGGATCCTGATTGCAAGAACTGCACCAACTCTGGTAATATCAACCAGAACTGGAATTTACCAAAGAAATACTGTACTGGTGACTCCCAAGATTGACAGGAGTTAAAGGAACAGGCTTGGAAGTTCAGCTGTGAGCAAAGGGTTTGTAGAGGAAGAAAAACAACCTTTTCTTAGCTGGACAGGAGAGGTCCAACTGTTGGGCATTGCCACAAAGTGCCACCATCAGACACATCACCACTGCTTCAAAGGATATCTACTCTTTTCTCCATCTTTGTGCCTCATATGCAGCAGCACCCTGTTGGCTAATCCTGGATTCTGTCCATTTCAGGGAAAGGTTCACTTCTATGGTATCCATGGTGGTGTCCACAGTGTGATATTCAGCCTTCCTTCTCATTGATGCTATCTACAGCAGGGGATTCGTCCCAAACAGAAAGTGGGTCAGATTCTGGACCACCAATCCCCTTATCTAATCAGTAAAATGGGCCATTTATCATCAGGCAGTAAACAGCATTTAATGACACATTTATTCAAAAGAACCTGGCATATAAAAAGCATTCTGTCATTTTATTTTTCTCTTTAATAAAACAAAAGGTTTGAAATGTACTTAACCAAAGATTTGATCAATGTGCTTACAGACATTGATGTTCTGATTTTTTGACCTGGGGAAATGCTGGGAAACACCATCGCTGAAGGATGGAGCTGCAGGCAAAGCAGCAGAGCAGGAGAGCACAAGAAATGGCAAGTTTAAATCCTAGCTTTTGATTGTTGTCTTGGACTGGCAATGCAACTCCATCTCCATCTCATTCACCTTTAAAACTGGTCTAAAAATTATCTGAAGTCATACTTCAAAATAAGTTTTAGAAGGTTAATATTTGTTTTCAAAAAAGAATATCTTATCAAGAAGAGATTGTATTCACTGTTGTGAATTATTTTCAGTAGTTGTTTTTGGAATGGGATTGATTCCCCACCTATTGGCATTTGCCCTCAAATAACATTTACCTAATTGTAGATAATTAGTTTAGCA